CTCTCTCTCTCTCTCTCTCTCTCTCTCTATGACGCAAGTAATAAATGATATGACTCATCAACGCATTATTTTATTTTATTTCATAAAATTATTCGTTCTATACAAATTTCAAATAATATTCATCAATACACTTAAAAAAAAAGATCATATCAGCGTGTAAATAAAATTTGCAGCATTAACGTTAATGATAAGAGAAAAAACCATAATTAGGACGAGTTATTAATTAGGACGAGAATCCACATTGTTAAGAAATTTTTTTTTCAAAAGCAAAAAAAATTTTATAGTGAGAAAAAAAAATTATTCAATAAAATTTAGGAAATATAAGCAAAATCGTTCAGAGTTACAATTAATAAAATAAATATTACTGCTAATCTTTTCACCTTTGCAAACTGTAGAAATAGAATTCTAGAAGTGGAAAAATGAGAATTAGATAATCAAATATATTGATTGAGGTGATGAAAAGTGAACCACTAAGTAATGAATAAATAACAGTACTATCATTATCACTATCACTGCAAATATTCCTAATAAGAATGAAGTAAGGACTGAAAAGCAATGAAAAGATCCTAATTTACAGAGCAGAAAAAATTTGAACAATCATTCATTAACATAGTATTCTTAGATATTTTAATGCTCATAGGTTATCATTTTTTAATTAGACTGAGTTTTTAATTAAAAAAGCTAAAAAAAGATTATCAAGCTTAAAAAAAAATTAAAAAGAGATTATCAGGCTTGAAATATATCTTATATATTTTAGTTCAGTGAAATATTCGCTTCAAATTTAATGTCTTGACTTAAATCTCATTTGAGATGAGTTTTTCATCCTATGCTTTCATTCATTTCTACTCCACTTCACTAATAATAAGGGAAATTCATTGACATTGCACTGAAAATATTTTTAAACAATAATTGCAAACGTAAACTAATTAACAACAACTAATTAACAACTTCATGGACTGCTTTAATGCTTTTTGTTATAGCTTTAGGAACATAGAAAAACAAACTTTAAAACTCAAATATTGCACTTTCAAACTTATAGATTCAAAATAATCCTGACAATGAGAATTTTCAGGGAAAAACGTAAAATTTTCAGCTTTTGAAATTGGCAATGATGATTTCAAACTGAAATGATTGATATTCTGCATAGGGCAGAATTTAAAAAATTTTCATTTATGAAAGATCAAAAAAAAATTTTTTTTTCATCTATGAAAGAGGTATAGAAATATTGATCTTGCACTACGTTAAATAAAAATCATTCTTCGATCATAATATTCATTATGCCATACAAACCGGAGTAGAAAGCAGTAAATATATAATCTAAAAAATACATCGTTGAAGATTAAACAATATGCAAAAATAATGCTTAATTTCATTTCCTCTTTAGATCTCATAATAATCCATAGTAGCCATAGTTAATAATAATAATAACTTCAATTAGTTGAAATTATTATCGCAAATTTTACAAGAAAAAAAAATTGCATCAGGTTAATAACTTCGACCAAATGCAAAATTTAATTATATATATTTTCCAGTAAAACTCTATTAATCATTCTAATTTGACAAATTCAAAACCGCAATGTTTTGATTTTAAAACCTGCTTTTCTAAGATTTACCTGGGAAAATTTTTAAAAATTAATACAAAGAGTAGCGGAGTACATCCTGTTCTTAACACACAGAAGAGTAAGAAATGCTATACACTGTACTCTCAAAACAAATGAAGTATTACTTCAATAATTACTCGAAGAATTAAAAGCAGAAAGAAAACATCAGAATAATTTCAAACAATGCAAAGTATGATGCAAAATTACATTTGTTCATATTAATTTAATATGTGACATTTTCATTAATTTAACTTTTCCTATCATCCATTTTCTACCAAATTAACATTGATATGTTAAGAGTTATCACTTCGCATTAGAACAAACAAACATCGTTTCATAAAAATTCCCTTCTTATTCTCTTTTTGAAGATATGAATAACATGAATATCTTCTTGCATGTACGCGAAATAATGGGTGATCCTTGAATCCATTGGATGAATTCAACTAAGTGCACTGGATTGATTAACTGCAAGTAAATAGCAAAAGAAAACTATACAATCGTAAAAATAAAAAATTACTTTCGTAACACAGTAAAAATAAAAGTTGATTGTAATTCAGTAAGGAATACAGTTTAAATTATCACATCTCATTTCATATTTCATTAAAATGTATTTTAATGTATTTTAGTATCGAGATAGAAGCCATCCAGCAAAGATCCTTCGGAGTTTAAACGCTCTTGATTAAAAGTCTAACATATCTCACACTGATCATCCAACATTAAATGACTCATTTCAATCGATAGCTAACTAAATTATTCATAGCTTGGACCACACGGTTGTCTAGAAAAATTCAGAGCATATTTCTGGAACGATTCATCCCAGCAGACAATATGAACAATCCTCTCTATCCACGTGTTGACAAGCATCAGTTATATGCATTAAATTATTTCGATTCAAAATACTATGAATTCGATTCAAATGACCACTCTTCCAATAGTAGTGGTTTGTCCCCATCACCATATCATCGGGATATTTCCGGCCTATCAAATGAAATTCACTATAATTGTACTCACTCAGTTACTTCGACAAAAATCCAAAGCTTTATTACTTCGGAATTAATGAGATCATTATCATCTTCAACAATTAATTGAAACAATCACTGAACGCTTTCAAATGCGATACACTCCATGAATAAAACTATTATTGGAAGGGAACACTTAACGATACGATATTACGAAACGAGATTATGAAATCAGTCAATTGGAACCAATTATTATGATACTAGTAATATAACCGTAACATTTGCTTCACTGTGACATTTCTCAACAGTTATCAGAGGCAAACATTGATATTGTTGTATTTTAGAAATTTATTCTTATCAAATCTTTTATAAGAATATTTAGAGATCATCTGTACAAGAAAAAATTCTCTTATAGAAACTTTCATAAGATGTAATTTATAAAAATTGATCTGGACCTGCAATGCAAACTAGAAACAAAACATGACGGACTGCATATCGCATCATGACATCACTTTTAACTTCTCTAACCGGTCAAGCTGAAGTTTTGATGTTTCTTTCAACAAATTATTACTTACAAAGCATAACACAGTTTAACAAATAAGACTGTAAAAAGACCATTATTTCAAAAAAAAAAATTAACATTTCCAAAAATAATACTGAAAAATTTAACACTAATTATCAATACTCATAAGAGACCAGACAAACGAGATTTCAAAAAGTAATTTGAATTTTAACTTGATTTAATTTTAAAAAAGTATGAAAGTTATTTAAATCCGAAGTTTGCACATCTAGTAACATAAAATTAAAGAAAGCTCATATAAAAGCATAAAATACATAGATAATTTAAAAATGATATACATTAGTTCTTATACTTCCCAGCGAGGGATAATGATTTCCTCGCCATCTCTATCACACCCTGCATTGATTTATTACCCCCAATAAAGCCAGTTGGATGAACGAAAATACAGCCAGGTATATCCGTTACTTTTGTCAATTCTGCATCACGGAGACCGCGCCATGCCTCTGGTAGGGGCAACCTGAAAAACCGAAACTTCAAAAACAAGAATTCCGCATGGACAATTTAAGTAAGACAGTATACCTTTTAATAAGACAACTTGTAAGACAATTCTGAATTATTTCGCATGAAACTATGACGTGCAGCACATGCAGATGCTCATAAAAAATAATTGGGAACTGGATAAAATAAAAAAAAAACTAGGAAATTCATACAAAAAAGCGTTCATTTAAAAAAGTTGAATAAAAACCTGTTTTCAAAAGGCTGTTTCTGGCTTACTGGAATAGCTTGCACTCTCCACTGTGCATTTGCATTATCTTCGTAAATAACATATATAACATCATCGTTTTTTAAATGAAGCTGTTCTTCAACGAGAAAAAAATGATCTTTCCAAGGCATTCCACCACTTTCTAGGCAAAATATTTGACCACTTTTATCAATCTGCAAAGTGATAAGACAGCTGTCGAGCAGGAAATAATGTAAATTACAAGAAGGAAATAACTAGTTAAAGATAAGCACGAGAATTTGCAATCACAGACAAGGGTCCGAGTGCTAGAAGAATAGTAAAATATGATAAGAAATGTTTTAAACTCAAATTTAAATTCAGCTAGTAGATAGATAGCTAAGTGATCGATTTATTTCTCGAATTTGATTTAAATTTCGACGTAATGAAAAATCTAAACTGACAAGTACCGGACGAAAAATAGGATAATCGTTGTAACAACAAAAACAAAATATAACAAACGTCAAAACGATGAGTGACTGCGTGGATAACGTGACTACGCGCTGGTAGCCAGGATTTACAAAGATAACTAAGCAGCTCATTGAATTCCTTTCCGACCAATTTGACTGCCATCATAAACCTACAACAAAGAAGTTGTTAAATAAATTGCAGCAACCACTGGTATCTCTAAAAGAAATCCTCAGATGATCAGTTTAAAGCAAATTTTTGTCAAAAAGTTATGAAAAACTGCCTTTCATTCGGGTTGACTGAATTTTCATTCCATGCAGGATTTAACATTGAGACTCGAGACGGAAGTGTACCACCCAAATAATATCTAAATTTAAATGAAGTGAGTTATCGGAAGTATGCCGAACAGTCCATATATAATATTTAATCGTTTTGCAACAACTGTTATTTTCGGTATCTCCCTTGTCATGCTCAGCAAAGTAATGAGCATCCTATTACTTATGAAAAATTTTTTCAGAATTAATCATCATTAATTACTTTACAAATAAACCTTGGTTCGCCATCAAACTGAGCAATTCCGTTGTCTATTGCATCGATAGACTCCACAAAAGCTTCATAGACCTTTTTGAATAAAATGTCAATTACCGGATCATCGTGTGGTAGCTCAAGCAAAGTGCTAATAACACTCTTCCCATAGTGAGCATAAATAAGACCCGCTGAACTTAATTTTGTATCAAAATTCATTACTCGCAACGTGTTCATTGTATGAGTAAAGTCCCTAGAAAAAATTATTTGTTTGTTACAAATCAAGCAATCTCCTGGGATACATAAATGTATCACTCTCCTCCAAGAATAAGGCTATTCTGCCGTGAATGCTGTATGCTATTATCAATCTAGCTAAATAGCTGTCGACACAAAGAACGCAAAATTTTATTGAAATTAAGCTTATTTCGCTTTTGAAAAATAAATTAAGACTTTCTTGCAAGAAATGACTCAACATACTGTCCACAACAGACTAACAGGATAAAAAACTGACATTAGCTACTTTTAATTATTGATTTATAGTAATTCTCAGAGTACTTAAAAAGTTTCAATGCTGATCAACAACACTCTGTAGTAAATCAAAGGTACAAAAACAATAACCTTTGATGATGGTCATACTTCATCGCAGCATGGTTATACTCACTACCGACATCAACCACAATATTACATAAGCTCAGCACGTCCTTATCACGACTTCTACAAAACACATTCATAACCTTTTCTGACTGAATCTCAGCAAATAAATTTCATTAATGTTTAACTAGCTGTTTGCAGCAAACAAACGAGAAACAATTGAAGCAGAATAAAACTAAAGCTGCCAAAATGAAAGTGGAGAAGGTATTAGATTATTGGATTTATGAAAATAAATAAAATACCATACAAAAGATAAAAAATATACCATACAAAACAAATTAAAAAAATAAGCCTAAACTCAAATCAGAACTATAATCGCGAAAAGTACTACTATCGGAAAGTGGTTTCTAGTGAAAAAAGTTAAAGAAATATTAACAAACCGGAAATTCCGTAGTTGAAGAGGATTAGAAAAAACTCTAATTATGCCAATCCAAATTAAAGGAAAGTGAGAAATGAAATTCAGTAAACATAGTAAAGTAAAAAAAGTCAAAAACAATACATACCGCACAATCTCATAATTACTGTATTCAGGAAGTGATTTTAACAAAAAGATTGCAAATGCCTGAAAATAATTTACCATTTTAATATACCATGTACTGAAAATTGATTAACTGATGATTATTATCATTAACAGCTGTAAAAAAAACATATGAAAACATATAATGAATTTTCTCCTTCATGCCGAATCATTCACGTCTATCCGCAATTTAATGCCTCAACAATGCATTACATCTTGCTGATCGTCTATTTACGATGTATGACATAGCTTTAAGTAATATGTAATCGTGCAATTTCTTCCCGGAACAAAATCACACAGTTAACTTTCAACTTCTTAAAGAAATCATTCCCTCTGGTATTTGGTATAAAAGAAATAAAAATTAAAAAAGGAAATGATTACCTCATCGCAGTGAAATTTTCCATCATGAGTACCAATCTTAGGCATAGCAAAGTATTTGGAGCGACAATATGCAGCTGAAGTCAACAGAAATAATCGATATGAAGATAATTCTACTGGCATAAAAGAGACCGTATCTTCATCTAATGTTGATAAAGCAATTCATAACTGCAACATCGAGATAAGTTAGGGATAATTAGTCAATTATTCCTCTTCACTTTATTATCTTAATTTTTCCTCACTCCTAGTATAAATATATATAAATTTTGGATCTGATATAAGGAAATCCTCTTTATTCCTTAAACATATTTCTCAATATTTATTGCAGATTATCACTTCATCATTTCTTGTATTAATTTTCAAAATACAGATACTTTCTCCATGTAATTTTATTGTTTTTTTTCTGACTAAAAATCCTTTCATTTAAAAAGGTACTGGAGGATACGGTATTAGGGCAATGATGTATTCTTTCTAAAATTGATATTAAGTAATGGAATATTTCACAGAAGCAAATTTGGAGATCATAAGTTTAAGTTGTGCTGCAGCCCATTTTTTTTCACCGTGGAAACCTTCAAAGAGTCATCATCAAGCGGTGCGGAAATGTCAGAGGCATTATTTCTTCACAGCTTTTTCCTGCTACTGTTTAAAAGATCTTTTACGATAAAACAAATACTCCATCATATTTTAGATGGACATCTCTCCGAGATGGAATACAAACGGAGTTAGTCTACTGGTAAGGAACATTCACAAGTCAAAAATTCACCGCTTACCACGCTAACATTGTGACCCCGAGATAATCCAAGTAAACCAGCACGGTCAGATAGATGCTACGTCCTTTCCTATGCAAGTCACATGTGACATTTAAAAATTTAGGAATAGGATATATATGTTGCACAACGTGTCAACGATCGATCGCTGCATTTGGGAGTTTGCCAGGTGGCATGGTGCTTCGGTGGCGCGCGGTTTGGGGTGCTCTTTGTGCGGTGGTATAATTGTGTTCGGACGTGGGTGGCGTGACTGTAGGAGAGGGAGAGGATAGGGATGTGTGCGTAGGGTTACTTTCGTGCACTCTTTTCTTTTCCGGGTTTCTTCATTTGTTTGGATTTGTATTATATTCAATTATATTGTTAAAAAAAAATTAGGTCAGTATTACTTTTAAGTTTTAAGTTCTACATTTAAGTTCATCGGTTTGTTTTATATCGTTGAAAATTTAAATTTTATTTTTAAGTTTATAGGTTTGTTTTATATTGTTGGAAATTTAATTTTTAATCGGTAGTAATATTTGTCCTTTGAACGGAACATGTTGTAAATGAAAGTGTCATCAGTTTTATTTATTCGATTGTACTTCCTACAGAGACATAATCTAAGTCATCTAATAGGTTGCTTTCGCGCACTAACATAATGATATGAAATTTTTATCAGTGTTATCTAGCCATTTTTTGTTCATATCTTCTCAGTTTTACCAGTTTGTGATTAAGATTATGATTAGAATTAATTAATAGATAATTGGTTATAATGCAAGAGAATGTTGATTTATAACCAATTATTTATTAATAATGAGCTTATGTATCAAAATGATCGCAGAAGATTTAGTTATAAGTGATTAAACGTAAGTGATTAAATCTTTTCCAGAATAAGAACTGTATTGGCTAAATTCGCTATAAGATGGCTGATATCTTAGATCAGCCAGACAATGATCTTGATTTGTATGGAGATGGTGAACTTGACACTCGCTTCAGCGAACGTGATGTGCTGGGTGATGACGATGACGATATTGCTAAGTGAGAAAATTATCATTTTTTCACTGTAATTTTGGCAGTTTTTATCAGGAATATTTACCGATATTCTCAGGAACCGTTTATTGTTTTTGCTAGACACACTGCTGGATTAAATTTTTTGTGACTTGTCAATTGATTTAGATCTGATACATACCGTGTTAAAAATCATACACCACTGTTAAGTCCTTAGTTGCTGATTTGAAATAACATGTTCGATGATATCCAACTTTTTGTTCAATAATTCATCAGGCAAAGCAAAATTTTTATATGCAGGGATGGGCAAGACAATCACGCATCGAAAAATGGTAATACTACAAATGAAGCAAAGGTAGTGAAATCTGAAGTAAATGATACAGATTTATATGACGCTGCGATTGAACCATCTGGACAGGCTGTGAAAGCAGAGTCAGTGCCTGTAAAATCTAGCACTGCATCTACTCCACAAGGAAGTCAAGCAAAGGCCCTTCCAGCACTCGGTCTAAATCAAAACAACACTGGTCGAAGATACTGTTGTTATATAGGTAGTTTGTTCTTAATTTTGTTAGTCAAAAAAGCGAAAATTTGCCCACTATTTTCATCAACCTATTTCACATTTTAGTACATGCAAGAATTGATGTCTAATTAGGCATACGTGCTTGGTACACATCTTTTAATTAATGTTGATTGGATGCTTGTAAGGTATGTTGTCAGAGATTATTTCCGGCAATTTCATCTCAGTCCAGTGGCAAATGCGTTGAAATATAGACGGAAGAGTCAGTCTTATGCAGAAAGTGGCGGTATATGAATGAAATAGAAGTAATGGAACTTGAAAGTTGCTTTTTTTGTGTGAGGAAAAGATAAAATTGATGCCTGGTCGGATAACTATTTTACTTTTATATATGATTGAGAGCATGCGTTAAATTTATTGCTTTCTTTGCTATCCTCAGGTAACATGACATGGTGGACAACGGATGTTGATTTGCAAACGATCATATTATCTTGTGGTGCTACGAATTTAATCGATATCAAATTTTATGAAAATCGAAATAATGGCCAGAGCAAAGGTTTTGCATTAGCAGTTTTCACCGCTGAAAGTTCAGTCAAAACAGTTATGGAAAAATTGCCACAAAAAACACTTCATGGACAGCAGCTTGTCGTTCTCCCATATACAAAAGCATCATTGGCAAAATTCGAAGATGCAACCAGACGAGTCGATCAGGT